CAATTTCTTCACTTTCAGTATGAATTAAATATTCATTTTTATTTTGATAATTGTTCGAAGGATCATTTGTTTTTTGTTTTTTTGAAATTGATTCATTATTTAAAGATACTGTATGTTGTTTTTGTTTTGTATCTTGATCATCTGGTGTTGGAAAAGATTTACTACCAAATTTTTCTTTTAAAATATTCATGTTCTTTTGCAAAAACATGATTTTATTTAATTTTTCACCACCAAGTCTTGTTCGTTTATCAGTTATTGTATTCTTACATGTTGAAAATAAACGCTCAACAGATGTGTTGCAAGCTGGAATAGCGAATATTCTTCGAGAAATATATGCAATTGTTGGATATAAATGTTCATTTTGTCTCCAATATGAAAGAACATCATCATTTTCTTGTTCTTTTAGAATACATGTTGATGCAAGATATAATTCTAATTCTTGTTCAATGTTTGTTCTAATTGGCATTTCAATTGGTTTATCATAGATTTCTAATAATAAGCGTTTTCGTGCAGAAGATGAATTAGTATTTATAGATGGTGAAGAAGACGAAGGTAATGATGTAGATGTTGATGATGTTGTTGGTGGCGATGATGAATATGCAACAGTTGATGTATTTGTTGATAAAACATGTTGACATTTAAACATTTTTTCTTTTAATAAAGATATTGCACGATCTTTCAGATGAGGACACATCTGAAAATGTTTTAAGTTGGGGTGCATTAGAGTAGCAATAAGATGTTCATCTGATATTTGCCATTTTTCATCTAATCGTTTGCCTAAAGCAAAAAAAGTTTGAAAAAATTTAGATTAATTATGTCTAAAATTTCATACCCAAAAAATGCTTTACTTGTTTTAAACCTTCTAATTCATCACCTTTAATACAACATTTGTTAATCAATAGCTGTTTTAATGGTAAAACACGATGAAGTGTTGGTCGTTGACTGTCACTTAAAATTTCAAAAGAAGCATCAAATGTGGATAAGAATTCACAAATATCATCTAAAAGATTTTTATCAATGGTCGCATATGTTAATAATAATCGTGAATCAAGAAGATTAGCTAATTCATTAAAAACTTCATTAAATACAATTAACATTTCATAAGCACCACTAAAACGAGTATCTGAATAAAGAATTAATTTTTTTGATAACTTCTGTTGTTTATGCATACGTCGCACTGTTGCAACAATATGTTTTGTATCATTAAACATATTTTGTGCAGCAATGTCAAAGGTCCAAAAAATGTCCACTTTACTTAAAGTCCGCTAGTGAATATGTGGGACTTTACGTACCTTATGAAATGTGACATATATCAGTAGTGATAGGAAGAGCAAAATATAAATACTCCACCAGCGGATGTTTCTTTCTTCCAACGGACTTTTCTATTCTCTTCAGGACTTTTCTTTTCATATGATTTTTTTTCTCGAGATAAATATAAGAAACGATTGAATAAATTCAAATCAAAGGAATAATTTATTGTATATATATGATGGACAAGAGGATGTTTCTTTCTTCTAGCGGACTTTCCTATTTTCTTCAGGACTTTTCTTTTCATACGATTTTATTTATCGAGGTGAATATAAAAACATTCAAATAGATTTAACCAAAGAAATAATTTGTTGTATACATATGATGAACAAAAGGATGTTTCTTTCTTCCAGCAGACTTTTCTATTTTCTTCAGGACTTTTCTTGTCGTATGATTTTTTTTATCAAGATTAATATAAGAAACGATTAAATAAATTCAAATCAAAGGAATAATTTATTGTATATATATGATGGACAAGAGGATCTTTCTTTCTTCTAGCGGATTTTCCTATTCTCTTCAGCACTTTTCTTTTCATATGATTTTATTTATCGAGGTGAATGTAAGAACATTTGAATAGATTTAATCAGAGAAATAATTTCTTGCATACATATGATGAACAAAAGAATGTTTCTTTCTCCTAGCGGACCTTTCTATTTTCTTCAGGACTTTTCTTTTCATACGATTTTATTTATCGAGGTGAATATAAAAACATTCAAATAGATTTAATCAAAGAAATAATTTGTTGTATACATATGATGAACAAAAGGATGTTTCTTTCTTCCAGCAGACTTTTCTATTCTCTTCAGGACTTTTCTTTTCTCGAGATAAATATAAGAAACGATTGAATAAATTCAAATCAAAGGAATAATTTATTGTATATGTGGCAGATTAGTTTGGAATTCAGTTGAGATTGGAATGGCAATATTGGAACTTTCTAATAAGAAATATCGTTAGCATATTCGATCACAAACATAGTTATTATACTAAGTATGTTGTCTATTTTTCTACAAAGATTATGAATCATTTCCATAGCTCTTTAATGTTGAGAAAATGGGAACATTGAATCGTTAGTTGACGTTTACTTGAAAAATAAATCCTTTTCTTTTTTTTCTGAGAGTAATTTTGTTTTCAATGAATATAAATTTTCACTGATTTCAATGATATCTATTTTCAATGATGGGGACATGAGGACATTGATTCATTCGTTGAAATTTAACAGAAAAATAAATGGCTTTCTTTTTTTTCTGAGAGAGATTTTTTTCAATGATTATAGATTTTCGCTGATATTTGTTTTCAATGATGGGGACATGGGGACATTGAATTATTCGTTGAAATTTAATAGAAAAATAAATGGTTTTCTTTTTTTTCTGAGAGATTTTTTTTCAAAGATTATAGATTTTCGCTGATATTTATTTTCAATGATGGGAACATGAGGACATTGAATCTTTAGTTGAAGATTAGTTGAAAAATAAATCTTTTTCTTTTTTTTCTGAGAGAGATTTTGTTTTCAATGAATATACGTTTTCGCTGACGTTTATTTTCGATGATGGGTACATGAGAACGTTAAAATTCGTTGTAGTTTGATTGAAAATAATATTTATTTTATATACTGAACAAGAATTTTACTGTTGTTTCAAATCAGGAATAGCTCGACTAGGGAAGTTTCTGAAAATAAAACACACTCCCAATAACGAGAAATTTCTACTATTATTATTAGTGGAAAGGGCAGAAAATAAATAAACACTCACAATATGTGAAATTTTTTTAAAAAATACAAAAATAAATTATGTTTTTCTCTAACATCATGCACAGTAAAATTAGAACTTTTTTAGCTCCCGAAAAGGGTGTGGGTGTGGGTGTGGGTGTGGGTGGGTGTGGGTGGGTGTGGGTGTGGGTGTGGGTGTGGGTGTGGGGTGAGGGTGTGGGTGTGGGTATGGGTGTGGGTGTGGGCGTGGGTGTGGGCGTGGGTGTGGGGTGTGGGTGTGGGTGTGGGCGCGGATAAGGGAGAGATCAACAGCCATGCCTGTACCCACACCCACCACACCCACACGCACACCCCACACCCTCCCACGCACCCACACCCGAACTTTTTCAACGTTTTCTGAAATTAAACACGTCGCCTTTTGATTCGTCAAGAAAAACGATTCATATAAAAACCTAATTACTGCGGCGTCAATTGGAGCTGATAACATAGATTGTTTCTCATCTCAACCGAATCAAACAGATTCGTTTAGTCTGAGGTAGGTTTAGCCGTCAAACAAAAATCAATGTACACTGAGCGTCAATTCGTTTTTTATATTTCTTACACTTATTTGTTCGACTTTGTAAGAATCTATTTGTCTTTGTGACAAGGTGGTTGATACCATGTTGGAAAGCCAACAATGAAAGGGAAAAGAAGTATCATCCGAAAACTGACGACATTTTATCTTTTTTTGTCATTCTCTGCTTTGTCATAGAGAGAAGTGCATGCGCTTCTTTGTTATCTAATCCAACATAAAGATAAAAATACACGAGAACAAATTCTGTTTTTAGTGGCGTTACCGACAAAACGGCAAGGATTGGAAAAAGATGGGAGAACATGGACCACTTTCGACCTGCTTAGGTCTTGATGCCGAGCCAAAAAATTTGAAAAAAATAGATAGGCAACTCGCCAAGCTTCAACAAACTAACAATGACGAGGATGATATCGATGATTGTCTAAAGATCATTACCCAAGAGCTGATTTCACTTATTCAAGCACACAGTGATGCCATCGCAAAAGTTGTTATAAATAAACGAATCGTACTTTACAATTGTCTAGCACAGGGCTTGCAGCCATTCGACGATCACATTCGACAACATCTGCCTGAATTACAGGCACAAATGAGTCTATTACGACAACTGTGCTACTTCAATTTTGATCAGAAGCCACTGAAGTTCGCCAGTGATGCTCTTGAGTCCTTCGCATCGCTGAGCGACATTGAACAACACCTGATAGCATTAATTCATGACATGCGAAGAGAAGATGCTCGTTTGATGAATGTTCTTGCTGAACAATATAACAATTTGACTACGATGAGGCGAAAAATTGTGCTTGCTTTCATGGGATCGTCAAAGGCTACCAAGAGCAGCTTCGTTAATTACGTACTGCAACGGACTATCTGTCCGACTGGTAAAGTAGAAACAACAGCTCGACTAACCAAAATTATCTACGGCGATCGACGTAAAATCTATCTTGAATCCCATCGAGATGAAACACAAAGTGAGGTTGAGAGTGATGAAGCCTTATATAATAAAGCTGAAGAGATGATTAAGTTACTTAATACCGCGCGCTCCAGCGACAAATGTAAAGATGTTGTTGTTATAGAGCTACCAATAACAGAGCTTCGTGGTATTGAGCTCTGGGATATTCCTGGTTTTGATGAGAACGATGTCATCAATGATATTGTCATCGAAGTTCTTCGCAATGTGGACCTTGTGTTTGCTCTATTCCCTATCAGAGATGGACTTCGACAAACATTTATTAACATGATTGAAGCGTGTTTACGAGATCGAGGTAATGGCAAATGCACACAAGTCTGCTTTGTAGTGACTCAAATTGACCTTTTCAGAATGGATCCTCAGACGAAAATCAGTCGTCAAACTGTACTTGATCATCTTTTTGAAAATATTCAAACACGCTTAAAAGTCGATTTAGGAACAGATGCAACTTCGTCCTGTCGATTTGTTACACTTTGTACAGCTGCTCGATTTAGTTTGAGTGACTATTTGAGCTGTCGAGCCGCATTCATTGAAAAATCCACGAATTTTTTTGAAAAAAGTGTTCGTACTATAAAAAACTTCCGTCTCCATTATTTGCTACAAAGTTTGCACGCATTGCTGGATTATGAAGACATCGAACGAAACATCAAACGGTGCTATCAACTCGAAGAATTAATTAACAGACACTATCACTTGTTCCAGGAGGAAGTGAAAGCATCTTTGAAGGAAAATATAAAGCTGGTGCAGGATACCGTACTTGGAGATATTGAAATTATCGTTGGAGAAGTAGAAACTATATTGCGAAACAATACTTTTACAAATAACGAGAAAAACCAACGAGTGCAGGTATTAATAGGCACAAGGTATGACATTGCTATGAACAATCATCTTGAATCCATCCAGCAATGCATAGGTGAAGCAATCCATCGATTCTTTAATAAAGTTGACTTTCATCCACGACAGGCACAGATCGTACAACAAGTTTTACGACAAACAATTCTCCCTAATCCATATAACACGATCGTTGGACACTTTCAAATGACAGCAGAACGTTGCATTGCAGCGGAACGTTGTATTGCAGTGGCTGTCCCTATATCAGGTTTCCTCGCATTAACAAGCGTATTATTACTGCCAATCGTGATAATTGGAGGTACGATTTGTTTAAGGTGGCTTTCTATGAGAGGTGGCAACATCCCCAACTCTATTGGAGAAATTTGGAAGTTTTTCGGACGGGCAATGAACGAAGTAATAAGTGAAAAGATTATCCGACGGGAGATTGCTCAAAAGATTCATTCGGCACTTTATCAGATGTTCACTCAGACTAACGATATAGTGAAGAAATACGTGGCTGAACAAATGGAGAAATTCGTAGATAACGTTCGGCTTAACAATGAACGGCTAGTACATGCCATGAGTATACAGGAGACAGCTTCTGTCGCCACATTTCTCAAACGAAAAAGGTATCATGTGACCAAATTGTACTTTGATATACTAGACGAAATCACTCACGACACTTATTATACTTGCAAAATAGAAAATGTATCACTCGGTGCGAGCAATTATCTTGTCTTTAAAGGACAGCTAAACAACAAATATAACACAAGTCCTATACGTATAGCCGCCAAACGAATACCGTGCAAAGATTGCGATATACAAGAAGTAC